CCCCGCCCCCACCGCACCCATTGGCCACTGCCGCCAAGACTACAGCTCCTATTGGCCCAAGTGCATATCCGTCTCGGGCTCAGGCACCGCCCCCTTCCTGCTTGTATCCGCGAGACGTTCTTAAAGGGGCAGAGGCCGCCCTAGGACCGGGGTGGTGGAGGTGGGGGTGGACTGGGGGGAGTCTGGCGGGCGGCCGGAGGCAACCGGCTCTAAACCTGTACATTTGCGGATCAGCGCGGTGCAGCCTGCCTTATTCACCGCTCCGGTCTGAGCTTCATACTGTCCATCTGCGAAATGGGGATGAATACCCCAATCCATGCACTCTCACCTTGGGGGCTCTTCTGATTGGCAGAGACTTGCCCAAGGGTACACAGAACCCCAGCTGCCCTGCGTGGTCTGTCTAATCCCCGGAAGGTTGCCTGGTGCATACTGGAGTTGCTCAGTAATGTCTAGGTGAGCGACTGAGTGAGCAAGACCGCTGAGGGTAGTTCCTCCTCCCTGCACCCTCTGCCATTTGATGATAAAGGTGCCCACCCCCCGGGAGAAGGTGGCTGCCTCGATTAGATGGGTTTTTATGGATCTTGTTTTGAAAGGGGGGGCACTTACTCCTCCTCGCTCTATTTTCTTTCCTTCCCAGCAGTTACCCCCTTCCAGAATGATCTTGTTCTTTTGCTTCTGACCCCCTCACCCATACCTGCTTCTTCCTGGAAGGAATTTTGCTTCTTTTGTCCTCCCGTTTTCTTTAATGATGCCTAGAACCATTAACGAATAATTAAATAAATGAGTGAGACACTGACTGGCTTTGAAAGTAGCCAACACTGGAAGAGGTAACTGGCTTTGGGTGGCAACTGACTTGTTAGATCAGAGCTTGGAGGTCACCTCCTAGAGGAAACCCTCCCAGACCTCCCCAAGACAAGGCCAGGTGCCCAGATTGGCCGTTTTCTAGCATGATGAACCTCCACTGCCTAACTGACTTCTGTCTGTGCTATCACTTGGCCTTACCTCTACTTCACCCACTAGACCGGAAGACCCCTAAAATCTGGGAAGGGCCTGTAGTTGGTCTCATTGTTTTAGCCCTGAGGCCTACATAGTGCATGAAACAAGAGGTGTGTGTGGGGGGGGGGTGACTTGGGGGAAAATCATTGTGGAAGGAAGGAAGCAGGCTGGCCAGCCAGAAGAGGTGGGAGGGCAGCAGGGTATGTCACAGAGACTGGAGGAACTGTAGTAAATAATACTAATACATAAACAACAACAAATAAAAATATATAAACTAATAACAGCAACAATTATAACAATAATAATGGCTGACACTCAGCTATCGCAGGTGTAGGCAAAGACTCTACATGTATTTAATCCTCATTTAGCCTTATGAGACAAATACTCTGATATTTGGAATCCACATCATTGGCTGCATAGAGTTGCAATCTTCATATCTTCCTGGTTAAAGGAATTTGTGATTGTTATGATGTGCCTTTGTTTTCTGATATTAAGCTTGCACACCTGTTCTCTTGATTCATGTTTTAAAGGCTCCATCCTTTTCTACCCCTTATCTTCCATATTTCTGTAGCCTTATGTTGTACACTTGTCTCTTGTAAGTGGTATAGAGCTAGGTTTTGTTTTCTGATCCAGTCTGCCCATCTTTGTCTATTAACTGGGGCAACTGGTCTCTTTACATTTAATAGTTATGGACATATTTGGACTTAATCTGCCTTCTCATGTGTTTCTTCTCTTTCNCCAGCCCAGGCCAGCGAACCCCACAGCAGTCCTATCGCCGCGCAAACATCCCAATGTTCCCAGACGCCCCCTCCTGATCCCATAACACCCTACGGCCTTCAAACGCCCCTCGTCCGGGCCTGGCCCTCCATCAGCTCCTCACCCAGGCCCCCAACGCCCCACGCTTGTTTGACGCCACTAGGCTGAGTCCTCGACCCTTCGAGCCCCTCAAGCGCCCCGGGTCCTGCACACCTCTGCCAGCAGAGCCCCCCAGCACTCCCCGTACCTCCTGGGCCCCTAACCCCGCTGCCCCCGCCTAGCCGCGCCCCCTTGGGCACTGGGACCCCCAGCACACCCGAGCTCGCCTCCCCCGCGGCCCTTCGCCCCGCCCAT